GTTTTAGATCACAAGGCAGGTGAAGGCCGAGTTGTATACTCAACGTCGCTGATCCGGTAGCTTTGGCAAGATGACATCACAAAGAACAAAGTAAGAGACAGCTGTGTAACACAACAACATTATATCAAAGCTTCATACAATGAACGTTCTACTCACTAAATTAACAACATGCAGATTTTCAGCACCTTCCCTCTTAATACCCTGTGACACTATGTTTAGCCACGCTCGGTAAACTGATACAAGACTGGAGTCTGATTTCTCTGTGATTTCTTCGGGCCGACCATTCAGTTGTATTTGGTAGTCTGGAACAAGGCCAGAGTCAAAATTATTTCTGCAGAAGCTGCACGGAGTTTGGTAAATCAGGTCTTGAACCAACATGGCATGAGGTGTTTGGGAAATTGATTGCCTGATCAAATCGAAGAGTAGTGATGACAGAATATCGATCCGCCCAACTCCATCCATCTCACGTGGGTCCCTTTCACTATCAACACCCGAAGAGTGCAGGGAATTCCTCCGCCTCCCTTGAAATTCTACCTGTGCCTTTACCTCTCTCTTTGTCGCCTAATCAAACCTGCTCCCAGAGGCTAGGCTAGGCGTTTATTGCTAAATTCAATTATCATCCAAAATATCCATCAGCGGGGAATTATTATCGCGTCCTTGTGGGGTTGGTTGCATCTGGGATTTGTCACTTGTCGCTTCCCCTCGCCAGTTCTTTGGTCAACAAGTGACAAAAAGAGACAATTCCTTTGTTTTTATTAAATTGTTATTTATTGTTTTTATCGCCTCTTTGGCAAATGAAAAAGAAATATTCCATTCCTGTTTTTCTTTGGAAACATGTCGGTCTTAAAATCAATGTTTTATCAACTGACAGAATTTTGGCTAGACACTTGCTGATAGTCTTTATGGGTGGCGTTCCAAATTTACCCACTTCGCTCAACGAGTAACCCACTGACGCTTTATCTTGTTCCCTCGTCGGCACTTGATGTCACTAAAACATAATCTATTCTTCTGCGCTAGTCGTCGTCGACAACTCAATCCCGGGGTGGGGAGATAAAAGAAAACAAATATCCTTTACTTTCATTTTCATTGTTTTGTTATCAGTATACTTTTAATCTATAGAAAAAAAAAATGGCGATATTTCTTGTTTTGTTATACTTTCAGTCTATCGAAAAAACAGCGTTTTTCTTGTTTTCCAGTTTATTTTTAAAGCCTTTTTCCCATTTTACCAGCGCCTTCTTAATAATATCAAACACACATACACACACATGCATATATATATATATATATATATATATATATATATATATTCTGTAAAGACATACAAAAACAGATATTACCAAATACCTAGCTAAACGAGGATGACATGGACATTTTATACAATGAAGATTTCGCCAACCATGACCGGAGACAAGATGACATAGAAAATAAAATTGACCTTTCAATAATAATTAACAGTTTCTAGTTTTCATAACTTCTTTTCTATTTCATATCAGATGATAAAAAAAAATTGTCAAGCAAGTTCACTCAATACACAACATGTATATTGTTGTTTTAACGCAGTATTAAAATTTACTGTAATGAGGTTAATGTTTTTAAACGTTGCTACATTCCAGGTTTTAGAATTCAAAAAAACAGTTCATGAGATCACGTCCTTATAACGTTGGGGTGTGTTTGTTTCTTAAGAAAACTAAGACCAAGAAGAGGAACAAAAAGAAGACGAATAAACATTCACCACCGTTTCTTTTCTATTTTTTTTCTTTTTTATTTATTTCTTGGCCTCATGATAAAATAGTAAGGTAAGAAATTTTCACACGTTGATAAAGAAAGGGGCTGTCCAGTGCAGATTGACTTAAGAGGGAGGGGTCTGCGTTTATTGCCCAGTGCCTGGGGCGTTCCCAACAGGGAAAGTGCTGAGGGGATTTGGGAATATTTGCGCGGTGTGGCGGATAGATCCACTTTAAACCTCGACCTTATGTCACATCCAGTTGCGACGTGGACGAACTGCCAAATACCACTAGTCCTGATCTTGAGGGAGATAGTAATATAGGTACCTGCACTTTTTCGCGGGAAAGCAGCATAGCATAATGAAAAAGGCCACAATCGTAATAAAAACAGTTTTATCGTCAAAATGTTTATGTTATTATTAAGATAAAAGACCAAAGTATTCTTTTTTATTATTTTTTGAAATTTTTTAATCTTTTCTAGCACAGTATTTAAATTAGTCGGACTATTGTCCTCATCTTTGTCGCCATATTTGTCACAAGGCTTCGGCCGTTATACGCTCCGGCCTTCTTCAGGTGGTTGGAATTTCGAACTGAAACCTTTATTTCGATCACTGGGGTAGACTGTTCTAGTTCCACGTGCCATGTTTGATGGATGTCAGTTATCAGTTATCTCCTGCAAATTTTCCCTCTGAAAGTTCTCCACTGCCTTAACCAGGTATTGAACTCACCTTCTTTGGGTCTGTTACTGGATCTAACCAACGACTATATCCACTGTGCCATGTGTCCTTGAGGACATCTGGGTATGAACTTTTGAGTATTATAAACCTAATGTTTTCAGCATCATTTTTTACCAGTGCTCATATTGCAATTTTGCTGTTATCAATGCATGTCTTTACCAGAGTTCATATTGCAACTTTGTGATCATTGCTTTTCTCTGGCACTCCTTATTACTGGTTCCCATATTGTATTTATTTCTATTCTTGGTCGGCTCAGGAGAATTTTGTGGCCAAGCATACGTGCTGATTCCTTAAGTTTACGAATTTTCCAATGGTGTTCCCTGTCTGTGATCTCAACATGATCCCACAGGGGGCGGTGATCTCCCTTCTCTCTCCATATGTGGTCAGCCACGCCTGATTTTTCTAGTTCCCCTCGCATTACAGCTTTCTGGTGCTCTTGAGGTCTTACCTTGAGGGGGCGGCCTGTCTCTCCTTTATATTCCTTTCCGCAGCTTTCCGACCAAGCATAGAAATAAATACAATATGGGAACCAGTAATAAGGAGTGCCAGAGAAAAGCAATGATAACAAAGTTGCAATATGAACTCTGGTAAATAATACCTCATCTAAAAAATATAGACAGACTTTTCTAGCACTTTCGAAATTTTGAATCAAAATCTTGTTTTGTTTACGTCATCGGGGTGCGTAATAATTACAATGACTTTTTTCGCGCATTTTTTCCGCTGAAAACACATTGATTTGGAATTTCTAGCAAAAATCAAATAAGTGCCCGGTTTTAATGAAACTTTCAGGATTTATTCACAAATGAATGAAATTATTTATGAAAGGTTTTGTTTTAGAAAATTTTGGTAAAAAATATTTTTTTTTTTTTACATGTTACCCACCTCTTACTTAATTTCATGAAATTTCGCGATTTTTCTTTTATTAGTTAAAAGTGGGACTCCTTGGAGAATGTAAATTATCCAATTTTTTTTTCAAACTTTTACCATTCTAACTGAAAATCTGTTCTGAATAGTAAACCAAAAATTGTAATCAAACTACAACATTATTTAATTAGAAAAACTTTTAAATGCTTTTGTAAATAAGTTATATTAAGGACACTCTTGTCTGAAGAAATTAAAATTTTGCGATGAAGAATGAATTTTTACAAGAATTTTTTTCATTTTTTAAAAAATTTTAACTATAATAATTTATAATAGTTAAAAATCGTTTAAAATTTCTGTATCGCGCTATTTCCTGGATGTGAATATTGTAATTAAGTGGAAACGAAATTTACGAATCCAAAATTGAAAAAAATTAATAAACGTCGTTTTACCATTCTATTTTTAAAATAATTTTTTATTTGTTATTTTCTCACTTTAATCGTTCCCTTTTTTCATTTGTGATAGCCTAAACATGTCATTATTATGAAAAGGTCACGTGGAAGAAAATAGAAAAGTGTTTTTAGCTAATGTTAATTAAAATTTATTAACTATTAATGATTAAACAATATTTTAATTATTATAAAAAATTTCCAGATCTATGTGTTAATTTTGTTGCTTACTTATCTTTATTTTTAATTTCACTTTAAAATTAATTCAAAAAAATTTATAATACTTTAATTTTTTTTATAAATCATCTTCAAACGTAACTAAAACTCAATAAAATATTAGATAATTGCTGAAAATAAGTTAATTTGTAAAAATTACTAGGTAGTTAAAAACTAAAAAAAATGAGTTAACTTAGATTTCGTAAATTTTATGTCAATTCTAGTCGTCCATAAAAACTGTCATCACCTCAGAACTTATTAATACGTTAATAAAGATCAAAGAAAATCAGGACTCGTTTTTAGGAAATGCTTGCATATTACTTATAAGTAATATTTATTTCAAATCAGATTAAGTAAACTTTTAATTTGCTTTTAAAAATTTTACTCTAATAATGTGTCAGAAATATATTTTTTATTTGTGGAAGATTTTTAAAAACGATAATTTTGTTTTGTTTACAAATTTCTTAAAATTAAGAAAATAGCCGCTTTTAAGAAAATTTTATTAAATCGATTAAATATTTGACATTCCAATCTATATAATTTCTATTTGAAATACATCAGAATATTTTACTTACTGGAAATAATAAATTGAATCATTTAGCTTTCAACTAAACCTAAAATGAAATCTTCAAAAATGCGTTTTCATTTTTAAAAATTAATTTTAATCCTTAGCTATTGAAAATTTATACCGAATTAATGGAGGTACCTATAGTAATAAATACTTCTAATTAATTATAGTTTAAGACATATTTTTTATAACCAACAGGAAATATGTGACAAGAATGAAAATGTTGAAAAATGATTAGAGAAAATTGCTAAGAGACATATTAGATCGTCTTTGCAATAGAATTATTCCTAAATTCGAACATCACATAAAGAAAGGTTACATATCTTATGTTACCCTAAGATAATAAAAAAAATCAGATCTGCATTAAAAAAGAAAAAGTTTGACAGAATACTGTTCAAAGACAAATAAAAAGAAATGAAAAAATTAATTATAGTTTGAAACTTACCTTCACAAAGAGGAACAAGCAGTAAAAAGAATAAGTTCAAGAAATACTTCATGATGAAGGAAGGTAAAATCTTTGAGCTGATGAAATCTACAATTGCAAATAGATTCAGTCGTGATTGTCTGGTATTTATTAAACGTCTGCTTCTACTTCTACCTGAATAATAAAAATGAATTTATTAAATTTTTTTCCACGAATTTTGTAGTTTTCTTTTTTTTTTTTCTTGATATTCTTATGTCATTGAAGTTGACCTTAAAACACACTTCATGCATCTGAACATATAAATCTTGTTAGGCAAGTGGTGAAAAACGTTTCCAGTTGACTAAACATATGGACAAACTGTTTTTCTCTTTATTTTAACAACTAGATAAGAATGATTTTCCCTGAGGCTAAATTTCTGAAACCTCCTAAAGCAATTACTGCAAAGTGTTAGACTCGTTAAGTTGGAAATTTGGGCATTGTGGTTTCAAGGAAAAGGGCGATTTACAGAACAATGAAATCCGAAAATTATTCTGCTACTTAATAATAAAAATAATAATAATAATAATAATAATTTAAAACTCCGCGTGACAGAGTGGGCCAATATCTGCATTGGAAAATATGCAACTTTTACGGAAAGGAAACTACAAAAAATTGTGTTTTCTTATTGACATAGCAGTTCTTGCAGGCTGTAATTTATCTTTGAAGATCTTCAAAAACTATCAAAATACATGTATTTTGAAGTGGAAATCTTAAAAATGTTGCATATGAGGACATCAATAATACCAGTTGTAATTGGAACTCTCAGTTTGACTGAAAAAGGTTCTGATAGACTTATTGAAGAGATCCCCGGTAGCCCAAGCCTTAAAGACATATACAAAAAAGTACAGCTCAAACCTTACGAAATACTTTTTCAATGTAAAATCTTATCTTAGATTTTTTTTCAAAACATGCTCAGTGCAAAATGTCACGATACCATTTCTGACCTTAGGAAAGAAATGAATATACACCGGAAATCAAAGGAAAGAAGAAGAAGAAGAAGAAGAAGAAGAAGAAGAAGAAGAAGAAGAAGAACAACAACAACAACAACAACAACAACAACAAGGAAATGATTTCACATCTACGTATGGGGGCCATATTATTAGGGTCAAAGAAATTGACAAGCTTAAGAGAAAATATTGACCTCTGGATTGATTTTTGTTGACATTCTTAGCGGCATATCAACATCTGTATGGGTTATTTAATTACCAACAGTCCTTTTTATCTGTAATTAGGGGCATAAAATTAGGTTCAAAATGAAATATTATGAACCTAATTTTATGCCCTCAACTACAGTTAAAATGGACTGTTGGTAATTTTACAGTAAATATGCATTGTTGTTTATTTTGTTTTTATATAAAGATATATTGCTGGCATTTTTACTATAAATATTTATTTTTGATAGTGACATATATATATATATATATATATATATATATATATATATATATATATAAAGTTGTAGCCTCTGTGTGTCTGTTTGTTATCGAAATCTTCCTAGGGTTTTGGAGATTGACCCTCATAACCATATATATTCTGAAACTGCATTACTCACGATACTTTCCCCCACCACTCACACACACTGAATTTTCCCATTTGATATAAATTAAATTTAAATTTGATCAAGGGAATGATTCCTCTGGTATTTGGATAAATATATTTCATTTTAATCAAAGCAGGTTCCTGGGGAGCACAAACCCCCAGTTAATTTTCTTCTCTATGATTTAAATTTAAACAAGGGAATGATTCCTATCCAAAATATAGAATGAGAAAGCCAAAAAATGGAGGTCATATTGGCAAGATCAATATGAGATAATATGGGCATCAAGCTGGGCAAGAAATCACCAATCAGTGTGTAGTTCCTTACAATACATATTTATTGCGACAATTCAGGTGTCATATCAATGTTGAAATCTGCTCATTAATTCATTCAATCAATTATTGCATTCAATATATATATATCAAAGGGGTCAGATCAAGCTGTTTTTGCACCCCCCCCCACTAAAAATCTTCTTTGATTTAAATTAGATTTAAATTTGGACTCTTATCCAAAATACAGAAGGAGAAATCCAGAAGATAGAGGCCACATCCGGAAGATTTTGAGTAATATTACATAATTTTTCTTCACAAATTATAAGAATTATTTAAAATTATTTTCTTGCAAAAAAATGTGTGACACGCTACAAGGCGCTGTTAATTCGGTTAGTTTTTACTATAAAAATGTATTGCAGGTGTTTTTACTATAAAAATGTATTGCAGGTGTTTTTAGTATATAAATGTATTTTTATACTTTCATGGGGTTTCATTTTTGTTTGTTTGTTCAGTATTTGCCCATAGCTGGTACCCAAACAGGTTCTATCACCGCGAGTCAGGGTGAACCTGGGAACAACAGCAATCAGTAGGACCCTGAATTGAAGTGGTTAGTATGTAGGACGTTCAGACCACTATTTTTCCAGATATCAGTCGAGTTTTGGGGTCCAGAATTGAACACCTACATTGAGAAAATCCGAATAAAGCCTTGTATCCAATCGTTTCAAAAGTCTGCGTTTCTTGGCACTGCAAATATTATGCAACAGGTAACATATGTTTATGATTATAAAACTTGATGGTGAACATCCATAATGCCATATCACTAGTTGAAAATCAAAACCCGGCGAAAGAAGAAAGTATATTATTATTATTACCGTATATGTCCGCGTATAAGGCGACCTTTAGATAAGATGAGTTTTAAAAAACATATCAAATGTTGTGGATTCCGGGATGGAATTCGGTACCAATAAATAACAAAAAACAAGAAGGAATATAGGAAAATAAATGTATTAATGTAATAATACAAACTGGTAATGCAGGTTAGTAGTTCAAGGAATGCGGGTTAGTAGCAAAATATATATACAGTCTTTGGTATCGACCTATCACTGTATGACTTCTTACTGAGTCTACGCGCATGCTCACTGTGACTCTTGCTCGATACGTTCGTTCTGGTTGGTGCTCGTTCGTCGCTCTTCTCGTTCTTCTGGGTTCTTCTCCCGGGTATTCACTAGCAGTATATGTATACCCTGGGTGAGTCCATTTGTATAAAAAGGGGAGAAACCTTCAACATCAAATTTTCATAAATTTATCCAATACCTGTAGTATAAGACGACTGTTTATTGATTTTATAAAGATGATGCTGTAGTGCCACGCCTACATTTTCTCCAATTCTAGTTGGTCAATAAATATATACTTAAAAACAACAGGACAATTTATCTATCGCATTTCACCATAGTAAATTTGTTCCTACACTTTTTTCAAAACATGCTATGCTACAAAATCACTGATTGGTCCATTTTCCGTCCAATCAGATATTTTTCAAGTATATTCAAAAATGTAACATAGCGTCTCTAGTTGGAGCCTCCCTAGGTAGTATAAATATTTGATGCTTTTCCAAATAAAACTAGTAGTAATTTCAGAACCACAGTCGAGGTACCCAGAGACAATAGTTCTCATTTACTCGCTCGTGTATTTTTCCTCCTACTCACTCCGCACGTGCATACACACTACAGAACTTTATGTGACACACCACCAGTTCTCAGTGGACACACCAAGTAAATCAACTTTTTAAGTTACAACAACTATTGAACAATTTTCAGAAAGAAATATTCCATTTCAACACTGAACTCTGAACTCAGACAAATCTTTTTTAAGACATTTCTTCCTGCAGTCAAGGGGAAGCTACCTTTTTCTCCTTTCTTTCACGCGTATACAACTACTTGTATTATTTGTTGAGTTTATATATTTCTTCTTTAAACAAAATTGGTTCTCATTGTTCTCTTTTTTCCTTGATGTTTAAATTTAATGTATGGATGTTGATTATCTTGAAACACGCAGCCGCATTTATATATTTGATCAACCCGACTACTAATCATCACCATTACAATGCTATTGGAATGTATACTTGTATATTCAAAATAACCAAAATAAACCGATCCTATATCATGTTTTTCCTACACACGCCCTGTTTTCTTTACGTTTTATCACGTGATCTCTTGCGAATACTGATTCTTCTTCTTTTTCTTCCTCTTCTTTTCCTATATCTAAACAGTCACAGCCTGGTGTACTAATGACCATCGACAATCACAAAATACCTCTAATAACAGTACGATAATGTACGATAATAGTACATTCCATTGCTGTGAACGTAATCATAACTCGATGTTTACATTTTCTCACCTGAGCTTGAATGGATACAAGTTGATTTCGTTGATATGGAATTATTCTTCGAATAGGTAATTTATTATGAAGCCATGTCAGTAGTATATAAGTTAGAAATAGTTTTATTACTTTTATCAGTTATTTATTTGACAATGTGAATCTTTTCATGTACTTTATTGGTTATCGCACCGAGGCCGAGGTGGGGCTACTAACAAAGATCATTCGGTTTCTTTTTTAGAATTGTAGTATAAGACGTTCCCCAATTTTTAAGGGTAATTTTAGGGATTTAATGGTCGTCTTTTACGCAGAAATATACGGTATTATTATTAGCAGTAGTAGTATTAATATTTATAGACACAGGATCTGTAACAATTTTATGGTGTTTTACAATACACACAGACAGAACAAACAAAGTTAATCACTTAGACATAGTAATCGAAGATCACGAAACAAAATGTGCTTTCTTATTGAAATGGACACTCCTGCAGACTGTATTGTATATTTGGATATCTTAAAAAAAAATTGGAAAGGGTTATGATAGACTTATTGAAAAGGATGCTATTGCGTGTCTTAAAGAAATACAAAAAAATTGTTCTCACAAGTACTGCTCATAACTTAAAAAGAGCTTTATCAATGTAAAATGTGTATGATCTTAGGTTGTATTATTATTTTTTACTAAGAATATTCAGTTAACATGTCCTGTAACATTTCTGACCTTAGATCTCTGGTTGGGACCCGGAAAATTAGTATCCGACAGAAATCAAAGGAAATAATAATAATAATAATAATAATAATAATAATAATTAAGAGAAGAGTGCAGTTTAAGAAAAGATAAAGAAAGAAAAA